GAACGAATACAGCTTCTAAGAAACTTTGGCTAATGCTTAGCAAAGTAAAGAAACCAATTTTGTCTCCTGCGAATCAGCTGTGGGATACATTTTATGGCCTTCTTAATATAGTGAACCATTACAGAGGTAATTAAATTGATAACCAAACTACTGGCTGAAACCATACAACATTAAACTGTTACTGATGCAAACAGAAACATATGCTAGCTATTCTAAAATGATGCAGAGCTATCAGTTACTCTGTTAAAGATCCACGGGTGGGGGCTAAAATCAAAAGACTTTATCATTACTTGTTGTTTCATTTAATCCATGTTTTCAAGGGGAAAAAAAAGCGTTACTTTAATTTCCCTGTTTAGACCATTCCTTGAAACTCTGTCCCTATAATTACTCTATTTTTAAAACTCAAAACTACAGATAAGATTTGCATAAAGATCTACAAAAATAAACTCTGCCAAAAATGCCCATTTAAATTAAAGAAAGAATAATGTTGCTTTTAATTTAATCTACACAGGGCTTCACCCACTGATTCCAAGCTGCAAGAGCAGCAATATTTGATCTTTAAGTTTGAAAGCCAAGGGTGTTGGTACTTAAAATTCATTGCAACTAGATTTTTTTTTTTCTTTTTTAGAAGTGTCAAGGGAAGCTTAATGCATAATTTTCAGTTCTTTGAGCTGAATGACAATAGGATTTGTCACAGAAAACACCTAGTGTGAAGAGTATTGAGTTTTCAAGCAAATTGTTTTCAAGCTGTGAAACTCTATGGCTGGTATCATTGACTCTCAGTGAATTATAAGAAAAGTAAGAGTATGATTAGAATCACATTAAAACTACGTTGTATGAATTTATGACTGCTGATTTATCTTATCTAGACAACCACACAGCACATGAAGTTGCAAGTTTAGAAATCACCATTGCCAGCACTGGCAAAAGTTTCTCAGCAGAAACCAGAGACTTCCAAGGAAATAACTGTGGTGAGTTATTTTAGAGACCACTCCCAAGCTGCAGATGGCAGCACAGAAAAGATAGCAAAAGTAATGTGAATCACTACAATAGGCAGAGTGATTTTTATGCATAACATGTTCCAGATTTTTTAGTCAAGATCACCAGCTTCTTATGCTACTTACTCATAGCAGTGCCTCAGACAAAACTGCCAGGGGCAATATCCTTAAACAGGCCTGAAAACCAGTTCTAGGGCTGCAGAAAAGCCTTGGAATCTGCACCAGCAAGCAGACTGAGCGGTTCTCACTTTGATGATCACAGAAAAAGGGGAGACAGAGAATGAACAAACTCCAGTGAGAGTCAGAAGTTACTCATAAAATAAGCACTGAATGAAACACATACCTGTCAGCTTCAAGACAAGTTTAAGTAGTTTCTTTCATAACCCAACAGACATAGCTTTGTAAACATATTTGTGTCTTCAGACAGACAGAGAAAGGATAAATGTGCTCTAGCAGCGGCTCCTGGAGTGACAGATTTGTCAAGTTGCCCACTCCAAAGCTGCCATAGGAGACAGACTTGTAGGCTACAACTCTCCTGCAGGCACACTCTAAATAATACGTTGCTGTCATGCATAAGAATAAGAGTACATAGAAGAGCTAAAAATCTCCAACAGGCTGGTTATGTCCCCCGTATGTACAGTCTTGTGTGCTAACCAACACTGGCTGTTTTCTTACATCCCTCCCCATTACCATCTGCTGTTCCTTTCTCATCCCCTCACTAAAAATGTGATCCCTGTGGGGCCAGCACGTTACAGCCCAGGTCTGTGCCCGCTCTGAAACCTGCAGCAACAAGGCCATGGCCACCCCTGCCCACCTCATCTCCTGTGACAGCAGTGTTGTTACCCCCCTCCCACACCCAGCTCCCTGTGCACCTTCCCCCAGAGGCGTGTTTGACCAAAGGCGGGTCAGGCTTACTGCAGAGATAAAGTCACAGCCTCCTGGCTTCGCTGACCTACCACAACCATTTTCAGAAGCATCTGGCACAGAAAGCTCGGCTCCAGCTGACATCTGGAGCCTCAGCACCAGGGAGACACATCTCGCCACAAGTAGGCAGAATGAGTAACGGTGTGAAAGGCTCTGCCAGACCACCCACAGAAATCACTATGCACATTTTCAGCAAAGAGAGGGTTCCTGCCATAGCATCAAGCAATGGCTTGGCGATACGAATTCCCGTGCTTCCTTGGTGTGGGTCCAGCAGTGGAGATGCTCGTGTTACCGACGGGCGCTGTGCCGCCACAGCCAGCGCCTCCACCAGATCACACGTTGCCCTGCCCGACCCAAACCAAATCCTTTATCGTTAAAGCAACACTGAATTTTACCAGGCAGGATTACAGCTTGTCTTGGAAGGCTACAGAGAGGAGACTTGTTTCTCATTTAGCATATTTTATTAAGTATCTTTTGGTTGTGAGCAGTTAGGTTCCGCTTCGAGAACCCGCAATTGCGTTACTCAATAGACTGTAAGCTACCTCTGTGAAAAATCAAATGCAACGATGTTACAATATGCAATTAAGCACACTAATGGCTGTAAAACAGTCACGTTTAGCTTTGAAAAATGAAATTCTAGGAATCTCTTGAGCGATCCACGTAACCTCCGGGAACCCAGCGCCGGGCAGCACAAGGCAGAGGACGCCGCACCTCGCACCTAGCGGGCTTCGCCACCCCTCCCCGGCAGAGCCGAGCCCCCCCCACAGCCCCATGTCGCAGCCATGTCGCGACTCCGCTCCACCTGCCGCCGCCGCACGGAGCCCGCCCGGCTCAGCCCCCCCGCCAAATGGCGACCCCCCCCCCCCCCCCCCCCCCCCATCCCCACTCCCACCCCGTGCCGCTAATGGCGGGCGGGCCGGCCGAGCCCGTACTCACCGGACATCCTGCGGCTGCGGGGCCGGCCGGGATTAGCCTCCCGGATAACGAGCCTCCGGGGGGAGCGGCGGCGGCCGGACCCAGCTCCCTGCGCCTACGAACGGCGTGAGCGGCGGGGCTTGGCACGCCCCGACCCGGTCCCGCTCCCCCCTCGCCCCCTGCCCCGCCGGGTGGCCCCGAAGCGCCGCTCCCGGTCCCGGCCCGGCCCCGGTCCCGGCCCTCGCACCTGCCCGGCGCCCCCCGGCGGCTCGGCGCGGCGCTCCCGCCCCGTTGTGCCCGGCCCGGCCCTCTTCTGCCCTCCTGTGCAGCCTTGTGAGGGAAAACAGGGCCGTCCGTGGGGGTTAAGGTCGCGGGCTGCAGAAACGAGCGCTTAGAGAATGAACGACGGCGGCGACTCCGGTGTGGCCGGCGGTAGCCAAATGGCAATCGCCGCATCGCCGTGTGTTGGCCGTGCGGTGAGGGTCTTGGCTGCCCTCGGCTTCTCTGCAGCCTTTGTAGCCCCTGTGGATAACAACGTGCTGCTGGCTGGCCACCCAGTCTACAGCTACATGCCTTCAGAGAGACGGTGCTATTCACAGTCAGATACGCATATCTACATATGAACATACATTCAAAACAGCACATTTTCCTGCCAGTAGCTCCAAACTGGACACTGTCTGTCTAATTCTGCCACCCAGTATCTCTACAAAGTAGTTTTAGGCTGATTTGGTTCAGCAGAGACATTTTTACATCAAAGCTTTCTATGGACATCAGTGATTACTTAGCCAAGGATGGCGATTTGTGACTGTCACGGAGGAAAGCACACGTACCACTCAGATAGGAAACCTTTATTTTCAGCAATTTGCATGTGATGACTGATGAGTTATGAGACTGCCCAAGTTGCAACATTTGTTCCCTCGCATATGGGAAGTATCCTAAATGAGGTGGTTTCATTGCTCTAGTAGTGGTGGCAGAGGTGTTCTAGGAAGAGAGGACGTAAATACATAGGAAATGAAGCTTTATTTTTCCAACAGAAACAAAAATCTCAGGAAATGTGTTCATCATCTGCTTACATAGATTGCCTAAACATTAGAATCATAGTATCATAAAGGTTGGAAAAGACCTCCAGGATCATCTGGTCCAACCAAACCCCCCCCCCCCAATGTCACCCACTAAACCATGTCCCTAAGCACCACGTCCAACCAATCACCACGAACACCCCCAGGGACGGTGACTCCACCACTTCCCTGGGCAACCCGTTCCAATGCCTGACTGCTCTTTCTGAGAGGAAATGTCTCCTCATTTCTAACCTGAACCTGCCTTGGCACTACTTGAAGACATTCTCTCTAGTCCTATTGCGAGGTACCTGTGAGAAGAGGCCAACCCCCAGCTCCATTCTTACAAATAGCAAGATTGCTATTATAGATGCCTTTATTGGCAGATTTATTTCAATTAGGGGACTTTATAATCAACAAAAGCAATTTCTTGTTAATTTAAGCTGTGTTTACACCCAGATGTTTTTCTGTTTTGCTTGGGTACCAGCAACATTTTTTATAGCATATGCTATAAAATGGCAGAGCCAAAAATACAAGCTAGAAGTCTGATGGTCCAAAAACTAGTTTGTACTCCTTCCTTTCCCTTGAGATTTAAATATATTAGAGCTTCCCTACATAAATACCAAGTTGATGGAATAGTTATGCTAGTTAAGAGGAAAATTAACACTGAAAAGTATGCCTGCACACCAGTATATTGGTGGCATGTTGCTGTCATTTGACCAAAGAGCTTCAGAAGGTAAACATTTGGTCAGGGTTTTGTCTAATTCAAGTTCACGGTAGTTGCTCAAATTCTCTGTAATAAAATCTGATTTTTCACTAATAATAACAAAAACAACTTCTACTGAGTAAGAAATTGGTTTAGAAATACAATGAACAAATTTAAATCCCTTGTAATAATATTTCAAAAGCAGAAATCATTATGCTCTTAATAATGCCTATAAATCCTTCTATGCACACTCATCCTGAAAAAAAAAAAAAAGATTCTTAAGCTGTTTCTTTTTTATCCCCTAAAGTCTTTAGTAGGTCACAGATCAACTTGCATATAAAAGGTACCAGCTAGCATATGTTCCGTAAAGTAACAAACAAAACAAACAAACCTCACATCATCTTAGGTAAAACACTGTATGTGTTTATTGAAAATTTTCAAGAGAAAGAAGGAAAATACATATTTTTATTGTTAACAAGCAGCTGACATCAAAAGTAGAAAATGTTATAACATTTTGTTAATCAAAAATTTGTCTAGCTTGAAAAACATATATAATTTTTTAATAAACATTAACATGGCAAATCGGTATTTTTAAAGAAATAGCATGTGTACTTGAAAACCATATTAAAATATGTTACCATTCATAAGTTGAAAGTGATAGCCACAGAATTACTCATTCCTTTGTGTGTTGTCAAGGTGTTTCTGTATTTAAACTGATGTACATTATAATTTCTTACTTTTAGGATCAAAATAAAGATTTTGGTAATCTCCTCAGCAACATAACAATTTCAAGTATAACATAGACAAAATAGTATTTTATTTTACAAAAAGTGTACTTTTTCAGATGACATCTTTCTCTCAACAATTTAACAAACACAAAATCATGTTTATGCAATCTACATGCAATTTTAGTAAGAAAAAGCATCCTTTGCATATAAGATGAAGACAAAAACACATGGATTTCCTCTATGCTTTTAAGTTAGCTAAAATATCTGTACTGTAGAATTATGTCAGTAAACTACTAGTTTTGCCAGTTTTCATCTACTTTTCATTCATTTAGTAGTATTTTGATTCAGTTAGCTACATGAAGACAGAGAAACTGGAAAGCGTTAGTTTTTGTTGATATCTTTGTCTATGTAAGAATATTTATTAACACAGTAAGGTTGATCAGGAATGAAGGGGAAAAGATGAAACAGCATTGCTAGTGAAATTGTATGTATCAACCACATCTCTACTAAAGGATATGTATGAAATTTAAAAGTTGGTGTGACTTAGATTTTATAGGACAAAGTGACACAGACTGGTTCTAAATTATTCCAAAACCTTTGAACATAGTGTTCCTTTCAGAAATTATTAATAATATGGTTCTTAAAAAAAAAAAAAAAAAAAGAAAAAAGTAAAAAACAAAAAGCCAGATTGCCTTCATAGGCTCCTAGAGCAGGCAGATAAATGATAAACATAATTTATGGCAGGTTCTAGTTCCTGAGAAGAGCTAAGTACCATTACAATAATAAATAAATAAATAAAATCAGCTTGTTTTTTGTTATTTTAAACAGTGGTTCATCAAGGCATTTTTCTTTTATTTTCATGATGTATATCAAAATTAAGAATGAATTTTCCATCTATAGCTCTTTCTACTTTGCAAGAATTCAGGCATAAGATACAAAATAAAGGCATTAAAATTCTTAATCCTCTATACTACTTCAAGTTTTCCTTAAATATTACAGACAACACAGAAATATGCTGAAGAAATCCAAAATGTATGAATGGAAATGGCAATTTCCTTATTTCTATTCTATCAGAAAGATTAAGTATTTTGGCTAAATTGGGGACAAAATTGTTCTAGACTCAAATGTTCAAAGCCAAAACATTTAAATTAAATTTTAAGCTCATCTTAAACTTGATTTCTATGTTATTTAAAATAACTTCTGAATCAAAATACTTATCCAGCATTTATGAATACACCTCAAATAGTGCAGTACTATTCCTGGACATTTTAAGTACATATTTGATGATGTAAAGCTCACGATGTAAGAGTAACAACAGGTCAAAGAGAACAGTATTCCAATGTCTCAACAAAATGCTCGTCAGAGGAAGATATTTTTGTCAGAATTACAAAGCAGAAGAATAAATGTCAGATCTGTGGGGTGAACGTCGCCAACTGAAGGAGTCTGTCATCAGAGGACAGTTTTCATTTCTGCAGCTTACACTGTAGCCCCACCTAAAAAAAATGAAGATTGAACGCTCATCATTTCTGCTACGGATATCCTTTGCCAGTTCTACATCAGCTGCTTTCCATGCCCTTTTTGCCCCCATCCCTTTGAGACATCAAGGGGGAACCCTGTACCCATAGAGAAGTATGGGCAGCCTTTCCCTTTTCCTCCATTTCACACCCCTTTTCAGAGGGCAGGTGGGTCACTGATTGCCTCATCATGCCTCAGTTACACCCCAGCTACAGAAACAGAGGGAAAAAAAGTGACAGGATCCTCAGGGCACAAACAGGCCTCAATGGCCCTGACCAGCCTCCCTCAGGCCTTGCTGTGGCTGAGGACATCCCTCTTGGATCCAGGTGAATGTCCTCTGTGTAACAGTCCAGGGAGCACCCTGCCCCTCCACAGCTCCCTGTGGCATCTCTAGCAGCCCTCAGTCTAGCAAATCTCTTCTGGATGAGGCTTTCTAAGCACCAAGGATATACTGGATCTGCCAGAAATGCCTATGGAACTTGTCTGTGCACATCCTGTATTTCATTCATGTCCTAAAAATCTGGTGGACTTTTTAATATGTGACAAATATGTCTTAGCTGTTAGTCCCATTATGGAAAAGAGAACTAAAATTAGAAGTTTAAATTGACCTATAATGCAGCTAAGTGGGGCTGTTCCCAAAAAGGATGTTCACAGGGCAGCCTGGGCCATAGCCTGACCAGCAGGGTGTCACCACACTGTACATAGCAGAGGCGAGCAGAGTGGGGTGGTGATGACAAACAGGTCCTATGGGCAATCCATTGATCCTCAGGGGAAAGCAAGGCAACCAGCCAAGCCCAAGGCCAAGCTGAGAAACCCAAGAGCAATCCAGGATTAGGGCTGGGGCAGACACGCTGCAGATGTAGACCAGGACAGGACAGAAAACCCAGGTCTGAGCTGAAATGCGGGCCCTGGCCAGAGGGGCTATGGTGATGTCCCAGGTGAGGCTGATCTGGGCGACTGAGGCTGGTCTGTAGGCTCAGGGTCACAACAGTCAGTCACCTCTGTGGCTGAAAAGACTTCACATTTCACAATTCCTTTGAGTCCTTTCAGCATGCTGTGGCTTCCTATACTTGTCCTTGATGAACCATGTTAATTATCAATATCTCTTACAGACCACTGAGATTGTGTAGACTTTCAAATGCCCTCATCATTGACCTATCTCTGTTCTGACTGATTTATTTATTTATTTATTTAGTAAAATTCCTGTCTACCTCAGTGCTAAATGAACCCAGAAATTGGGAAAAGTTTTGTCTTACCACGTGGTTTGAAACAAAGTTTGTTGTTCTTGTAAGCTGTGTAGGCAGCTATTGATCCAACAACTAATATCACAAAAGCAGAAATTATAGGAGAAGTAACTCCAGCTATTAATCCTGAATCTGTAGAAAATGAGAGAAAAAAAAAAATCAGAGGCACTGAAATAGCATGACTTAAGCATATTCCCCACTAAGATGTGTTTTTGCAAAACTTTGAGAATTGTTCAGTGAAAACATTGGAAATCTATTAAGTAGAATTAAACGGAAGACTGGAAATTATGTTACATGACAGCTAGTATGAAAACAGTGTCACACAGATCATTTAGTATATGTACTAATAAGGCTAACATTTTCCTACTTTTTATGGTGAACTGGAACAAACTGTAGAATACATTATTTACTATACCTGTGTTTCCACCGTGATTGAAATGATGCTCTTCTTCTCCTGGAATAGAGGGTGAAGTTTCATTAAGAAATGTCTTTCATCATGTTTGAGAACAAAGTATATGCTCAGCAAAGTGCGATTTCATGCAGCGTGAAATTGGGAAGCTAGTGTGGGACTCTGTGAGAGAGGAGCTCTGATTCTAATCCTGACTCGCACTGGTGTTGGTAGGAGGATTAACCTCCCCTCCTCCTGCCACTTCATTTCTGAAGAAGAATATTATCTGAAGAATATATATAAAAAAAGGGTAATCCTTAGCTGTCTACATCAGGCTGATTTAAAGGAAATAGAAGGCCAGTACTGTACTCTCATTATCCTCTACTGCCAGACAATCAAATGATTTATGTCAAGATACAGACGTGGTGCATTTACTTTCAGTTCTCAGCAGAAGCCCCTTGCTTTGGGACTATCCAAGCTGAATTTGAAGGGATTAATCTTGCAAGGTGCTGCCTTAGCCCTGTAAGGCATTTAGGGATTTGTTTCAAAAGATCTAGAGCTTCATGCTCAAAGCTGTGGTTTGTGGAGAAAGGTGGCTAATCTAAATAAAAATAGCAGAGTCTTGTGCTACACTGCTGGTGACAGATTTCTGCTAAAGCAAAACCAGACAGCTCTTAATTATAAATTTTAGGAAAAAAACTACAATGAGAATTGGTAAATAAATACTACCTGCGATATGCGGTGGTAAGGGCTTCCCATCAACGAGATCCAAGTCATTAAAACCTCCTGCAAGATAAAAATTAGGATTTCTATTGGAAAAATAACTGAACAGTGGTAACCCCTTCAGCTCCCTTGGCCGGTCGTTTTCTACTGTTCTAGGGAAAGGTGAGGGACCTTTGAAATCCCATCCGCTACATGGCAGTGGGTCAGGTGCCTTGCACAACTAGTCACCCATTCACATTCACCCAGAAGCTGGATAATGAAAACTGTTACTGGCTGCCCATTCTGAGCATGAAGACATGCATGTTTGTAAATAAGTGCTGTATTTAAGAACCCAAAGTGTGGACTCAAATCCCAGCAGCTCCTGCAGTGGGAAGTCAGTGGGTCCCTTCTAGGCAAGACTCGGGAAGGGCACGTCCACAGCTCAACACCACAATCATACCAGTAGTAAATATGGGGTACATGGTAGTAGTTAGGACTGATGTACCACTTCCATTGTATTTAGAGGGTGTCTGGGACTATATCCAAAAGCAACATAGGCTTAAATCCATCTCCCCAGTCCCACCAGTTGTATGCCCCAGAGCCATTTCACATCCATATCTCAGCATGGATTTGTACGTGTGTACATATTCATAACGAAAGGATAAACAAGGTAAGTATTAGTCTCCTGCCACTTAGGATTCAACATCCTACAGTTGGGGCAGGCAGAAAAGCTTTATGGTGCCATCACAAAAGCTCAGAAAATCTTTCCAAACACTGGGTCAGGAGCAGTGATAAAAAAAGGAAAATATACGGAAGGGATGACAAAAATTATGTATAAAGAAAAAATAAGAAAGTAATCTATTCGACACATCTGCTCCAAACAGCTCAGTGGTAGATTTTCTTAGGAGAAAATATTCTTACCAGAACTACTGTGGCTTCCTGGTCGTGGTGGAAGAGGTGGGTATAAAGGTTGTCTTGGGTAGTCACCTGTTGATAGTAAATAGTTAGGCGGTTGAACAAGCAGAACTGAGAGCTGTAAATGAAGAGTCTAATAACCTGGGATTTTGTACCTATTACTCATTTGTCCCCTGGGGAATTTGGAAAAGGACCTTGTCACTAGTTAAAACATCTCAAGGCCTGCATTAAAGATAACTAGCTACTAAATCTAATTAGAAAACGGAAAGGAAATTTTTCAAAACTGAAACAAGAGAAGAACTTGAAAAATGTTCAATGAAAATATTTCATGTATTTCTGGCATGGCCTAATGTTAATCAGTGCTGACAGCTGGAAAGAACGGTATGCTACTGTAGGTGTCAGCGGTGCAGTTACACATAGCCAAGAGAGCAGCTGGTGTTCTGGGCTGGGTGGGAGGCAACAGGTTATCTCTGTGCCCTCAGCAGGTATTACTAAGAACACTACATTACATTAGTTCATCTAAAACATGATGAATTCAACAAATGCGTGATGAAATATCTGCTCTTAAGCAGTTCAAAATGTACTCAGATTTCAGCTATATTCCTTAGGTCTTTGTGCTGGCATTTAGTCTTAACTCCTGCTGAAGTTATGGGAAGAGATGCGCTGGACAGAGAGGCATTTGATTAGCAGTAGCAGTTTCCAAATTGCACACAAAGAGCTGGTGCAATGAAGTCTGACTCAAACAGGACGCCCAGGGCTGTTCCTCTGCATACACAGAGTAGGCCCCCACTTGCTGTCCCTTTTCCAACCAGGTCAGTAGCATATTTAACTGCTCACATAGTCAGGCAGCAAATTTGCATCTGGTAAATCAAAGCTAGGTCACAGAAATAAATAACATTTTCCCTCCCTCTCCTTAAATCTTTCTTTCACCTACAATGCATGGCAGATGTGCTTTTATCATGCTTTCTCTTTGTCTAGATACTAAACATAATGCTTCTGTTTGTGAGTAACTTTTATGTTCTGAGTCAGAAAATTATTTAGAGATATGCTCAGCTTTCAGTATGAATTTAGCCTATGGCAGCCAATGGATTCTAGGCACATTCTTAAAGCTTTTCTGAATCAGACTTTACCTAATTAATTCTATTTAATAGAAGAAGAGACTTATCCTATTCCAGAACCATGTGTACCGACCTAAGACTCAACACCAAAGGGAAAGCTACCAATCCCATTATTCCTTCTATTATGATGCTGCAGTTATTCAGTCTTCCTTAAGCACAAGATATTAGTAGCTATTAGATATTAGACATATTCTCTCATAGCTGCTAAGAAAATAATGTCTTAACAGCTACTGATAGAGGTACATCCTGTTATACCACATATGAATATTAAAAACATGAACTGAAAATGGACCAAAGAAATGTAAATCAAGGGAATGGGAAGGTGGCTACTACTGAAGATGCTTAAGTCATTCATTAATAATTTAATCAACTTACTAAAACAATCCTCTCATAAAGACAGTAAAAACTTGCAGGAATGGAACAACTGCTATGGACAGGAGGAAGCAACAGCATAAAAATTGGACTTATCAACAAAATTAGATGTCATTCAGCACAGGTATGAAATGTCAGAGGAGAATTTGGAAGTGGGAAAGAACAATGTAAAAGGTATGATTCTCTAAGACTGAAATATGACTAATACAGCTGCAATAGGAGTCATAATTCAGAGGCTCTGTGCTATGGGCTAGGAAATATTATTTTCTTTTGTGTAGCCTTGATTCAAGTGGAATTTTATGCCTTGATTTAAAGCTACTTGTACTGTAGGTTATTTCAGTGTGCAAGAACCTTTCTAGAGTACTTCACATCCTTAATACACCTCCAAACACCCCAAGTAAAATGTGGTGCATAAATTTCCAATGTCTTGGATGTGATATATTTACACAGCTCAATACAGTATTGTCAATACTTCCTGTATCAGGTTTGGATGTTATAGAAATACCTGGTAGTTATAGCAGGTTGCAACAGCTTGACTGCCTCAAGCCTAAACTGTATTATATCTATCAGTGCTCATCTGTAAACCACTCCTTCCTTCATTTCTGATTTGTGGTCAGCAGAGCTAAAACAACCTCACAGCTCTCTCCCCACTGTTACCTCTGATTTCTAAAATTCAGCAGATTCCCTGGAAGTTGAAGGAACTGCTGGCATTATCTCCTGTTGTCTTCAACCTTACACCAGAGGCTGCCACACTGGTCCCTCGTGGCTGACTGGGCAGTATGGCCACTCCTTAGCCATGGCTGTGGTGGGCTGGCATGGTGATGTGAAGCACAGCTGACTTCTGTCCAGACAAATTGGACAGCCAGCAAGCTCCTATAGCTGGCAATTGGACACAGCCCATCCTACTGTCCCCACTCTTTTTGTACAAATTAGGCAGACTTCAGAAAAAGAGTAACAAACAAAAACAAAAACAAACAAACAAACAAAAATCTGAGAAAATAAAGTACTCACCTCCACCAAAAGCATCTCCTAAATGCAGATCATTGTCTAAAAACGAAAGGGAAGAATATGTAGAGAATTAAGTAACATGGTTCTTGGGGGAAGTGAAATGTTAGCTTTTAACAGAAAATGTAAAACAATTTTTGACAAGGAACTGTTTTTCAGGTCATACCCACAAATTCAAATAAGATATTCCACTTTTCTTGAAAAACTTTACAGAATTTAATATTTGCCCACAAAATAATAGACAAATTATGTCATACTTTCCACTCAAAATACAAAGGATTTGTTCCTATATAATAAATCTTATACTGGAATCAAGATCGGTATGTCTTTAGTATATGTGCAAGATACATAAATAAAATCACTTAGATTAAAATATTAAAATGTATTTGATTATTTTATTTTATATTAAAAAAACACACAACATATTTATTGATGTCTGTGTCTGTAGTTAAAACTTGTACGTGCATGCTTGGCTTCGGTGTAATTTGTTGCATTGCAAAATCTGAACACCTATTTCAAGAACAAATCTTGGGAAGTAATAAACCTACTTAGGGAGAGAGAAATGAATTAACTAATTTATGTAAGTGTCATGGTGAAAGAAAAAAAGAATTGTGCTTCAAGTGATCCTATGCACCTGTCTAAGGTTAAGTGACAATCTGTTTTTCTTTGGCTGAACTATAAAAGTTTTAAAATGTTCTTAAATGTCTGCATAGGCACATTATGCAAAGAATCAGCAGGCTGTTACCATTCCCCAGCACTGTGCATGTGTCTCACAGTACCTGGAATGGAATTTTCCATTAAACAAACAATTTGTCAATGAGCTGCATAAGATGCACAAGCAAGAGGAAATCCATTTCCAATGTTCAGGTGTGGATATGAGTATGTGGGTGATATTTTAGGGTGTGTTTGGAATGACAGTGACCCCTCAAAGGTCACTAACTTATAGGCAGAAATACATTACTGTCCTTCTCTTGCTCCTCGTTAATATGGAGTGATAGAAAGTATCAGAAGAAAAAGCAAAATCTACCCAAATTTTCATAATGATGCTTATTGCCACATATATATATAATAAGTATATACTTTTTTCTTTATAATGCATCACGATGCACAAGTCTGCCTTCACATGTTCTTTCCATCCAGAGAGAGAAGGATGCTGCACAGTGCCTAGTCTCATTATATATAAGTATTTATATATATAACATTTTTGTAACTTCTCTGAAATGCTTTGGTGTCACCAGGAAATTTGGAAGGAAAATAATCAAATTCTTGCTACATGAATAGGTTTGTTCTTGTCAAGCCAGGTGTTAATTCTGTCTCAGTCTGGCCAGCAGAGTTGCATTTCAAAAATATCTTTGCGTGTCAAAGGCTAATACCGTAAGAAGCAATAAATTGCAAATTGTATTCCATTTATCATCAAGATTAAGAATTCAGGTAAAATGCAGTGTTCCACTTAGGAGCCTTCATGCAGAGATTTGTTAGAGAAATATTGAGGCTGGTATGAATGAAGGACAAATGGAAATGTGTGTGTAGGCACAAGAAGAAAGAGCAGAACAAAGGGTTAAAAGAACAGACTATAAAAGTCACCATTCCCTGCAGTAAAATTGAGGAATGTGTTGTTTCTGTGAAAACCAGCAAGCCTGAGCTCCAATAAAGCAGAGATAACTTGTCAGCAGGAGAAAAGCAGAAGGGCACTCTAAAGCCAAAGGTTGCAGCTTATCAGCCATACCGTTACTTTTCCTGTTAGCCCATCCAAAAAGCAGACTAGAGACAGAGTCTGTATACCGTAATCAACCAAAGTAGACAGTGGACAGCAACCCGGCCTAAGGTTCAGGGAGTTGGAAGTAAGCAAGATTATGAAGTAAATGACCTTTCCATAATAGCTGGTGATTCCTGCAGGGTATGAAAGATCTGCCCATAAGCTAGCTTGGCATTTCTTATTGAGAAGAACCACAGAGACAGGATAAGGGCTCAGTAGTTGCTGTACCTTGTCCCACGTTGCACATGATGCTCACCAGACTACTGGAGTACACACATCTTGGTGCTCCCGAGAATGTGGGTTTGAGTTTATGACAATCAAATTAATAGCAGGATGAGTGTGAGTGGCTAAAATCAATGTATGTAGAGATTTTAAAAACACACTTCACCATTCCTTTCCACTGAATTTTGTTACACTAGTTGGAAGCTACCCACAGGAGTGCTTCTACTCAGACAGAGGTTCTTGTCTGGGAAGTGATGTGCGGAGGATATGGCCTGTACCACGCTCTGCCAAAATTATCATCTCTGCCAGACTCACTTCTCTATGATGCTGACTGAGTGAGACACAGTGGAAACCCTGAAGTTAAAATGAATCATCAGGCAGATGTTAGGATATACTTTTGTATCATCCCTGTGCATGTTTCCAAATCCAGTAATTTACTTTGGCACTTTTTTCTTATTAGTTTTAATTACTTTTAAACTCCCTGAAATTCTCTTTAGTGATGGGAAAGATTCCAAAATGGTCTGGAAAATACAGAGTTCTTCATTTGCAAGAATTAGCAAAGCTGATTCAGGTAGGGCAATCCTCCCACTGCTGTCTCTCTAACAGATCTAGGAGTCCCTAAATATTCGATTTCTCTCACCTGACTGGGGCAGTATCACCATAGATATTGACTTCTGACTTGGCCTCCTTATTTTACCTTTAAGGTAACTCTGAGGAAAGAGTCTTCCAGGTCTTCAAGTAACATACTTAAAATGTCTATGTTAGGCTAAGAACTAATCCACATTTAGGATTACTAAATTACTGTTCCTAGACTTGATGATTTCTCCCCACTGACTTCAAAGGAAGCCAGGACAGCTAGTGAAGTAGAGAACAGTACTTCACAGTACATTGCAACAGATTATTCTAGTCTAGGTCAAACAAAGATTTTCTTTGCAAAAGCAAGTGGGAAGGAAGAGTGCAACCATTGCAGGTTTAGTAGCTAGCATATTCACAAAACACTGCCCTCTTTGTTCACATCATGTGGAACATGTAACTACTTCCAAGTACCTAAAACTTAGTGAATATTTATCCAAGAAAAGACTGAAGGTTGTTGTGTAGGCTTACATTATCCAGCATTTCCCGATTCAAACATTTTGCTTGATAGTCAGAAATGTCCTTAAGTGTAATTTAGGTGTAAAATATCAATGTTGTCATAAAATGTTCTGTTATAAATACGCATGTGTTTTTATTGTTGTTTGGCATTGGGGTTTTTCAACAGCAACAGGTATTCATTGAAAGTCATAATTTGTCATCCTCAAAATTACAGCTAAAACCTTTCAGTCCTCTCTGATCTTCCCAGTTTTCTTCCTTTCTGACACGGGTCATTGTAGCAATCAATACTAGATAATACTCAACTCTGTTATTAAGCATTATGAACATTTGTGCTAAAAGAAGAGATAACACAAAAAAGTAGAACAATTACCCATTTTTAGCTACAGTTACTCATTTTTATACTCCCCAGGATGTCAATCCTGGCTGGATAAGTGTTGAGGATCTTCAGGAAATATAATGTTATCTGTGGCCAACCATGCTTTAAAGCCTTACTGGAAGTAATAAAGACATGTAATTGGTAATTGTCAAAAAAGTACTTACTTTATATACAGGAGACGGCTACTATTCACACAAATGATCCCAGCTATGGCATATTAGCAAATATAATCAAAAATATGGGAGACAATTTCTACATAAAGTAAATCGGTAATGACCCATTCATTGCCTGTATTACTCACTCAGCAGAGGCCGTGTTGGTCTTCTGATCACTGTAGGCTTCCTGGTAATTATGTCATCTGTGGGACCCAGCGACATAACAACAACAACAAAAAATCTTAAAATTGTTCAACTTATCAAAAAAAATTATCTACAGATCTAGAGAGCTGCATTCAATATATCTTTATGCATCATGGCAGAAACTAAAAAGGAAGGAATATAATTCCAAAGCCATAATCATTTTGTTTTAAAGAAAATTTTAATTTAATGACTAAAACATTGATTTGTTTAAAATAAACAAAAGCAACCAGAAAAACAAAAACAAAACAAAACAGAGCATTTTCCAGTTGAATGTAAGTTAAAAACCTAGTACTACCCTGACCTGTAGACTTTTAACTTAAGTACTAGCTACTTCATGTTCCAGTTCTCAACAAAAAGAGAACAGACTTAAGATTTATATTTAGATCTAAATGCCATAGGAAAATAAGGATAGCAGATTTACCTACCCGGGTGATCGAGAGCATCAGCTAAATCAAAGTCACGTTGACCTAGAAGGAAGCAGAGAAGATCAGCAGGCAGGCATCCAAGACCTCTGAGGGCTCCAAACAAAGCCAGAACACTGCTCAGAGACAAAAGGAAAATCCATCCAAACAAGAGCTGGTGTAGAGCAAGCTGTCAGCCACTATCCCTGCCCCAGGCAGCCCTGAATGGCCATGCTCAGCCAAAACTGTGAAGCTCAGAAGCTCAGTTTTAGAGATCAGCTTTCCTGGCATGCCTGACTTGAGACTGCTTGTCACCTGAGCCAACTTTTTTTTTTTTTCCTGTAACATGTGCCAGCAGTAACATATAAAGATGTGTTTACCAAATTTAGTTTCCACTGTACCTTAGAAAAATAGGAAAAGGGAGAAAATAACCCTTTGTGATCTGTCTTAGGTGACAATGCATGAAATGTCACAGCAGGAAAAGTATCCTGCCCTTCAAAGTTAGCAGGTAAATAAAACTGGAAAATATTCAATGTATATAAAGCAAAGCATACAACTTTGAACTGAACAAACCCAGGTATTCACCCTAGATTTCCATCGCACTCTCTACAGTCTGCCACTGTCCTTTTAATATACAGCTTTCGTGGCTTACCTCTTTGCAGAGAAAGTATCTGTTAGCCCTCATGTGGACTGAAACTCCATTGTTCCTGAGTTTGCATGCCAAATCGAAGCTCAGCATGCATGAGTACATGGAAAGCCACCATGCACTATGGCTTTCCTAAGCAGGCGTGCTTTACTGTGTCTGTCAAGCAAGTCTCTTGATCTGCATCTGTTTATTAGCCTACCTAGCCCTCAACTAAAGTGTTTTTTCTTGGTAGGTCTTGAATGCCTCACAGCAAGAAAAGTGTCATTGTTCAAGCAGGGAAACTGAGGAGCAGACGGAGGCTGTCACAGCCACCCCGGAGCAGCAGCACTCGGTGTCAGTCGCTGCTCTGCGGGTGCTGGTAGGCTGCATGGCGTTCCCCACATTAATTACTGCTCTGCAGTAACAGCTCCTGTCTGTGTCAAAGAGCTCCTGGAAAGATTAATTATCAGCGATAAAACACTGTGTGATCCTCAAATAGAAAGCAGCACGGGAGTATAAGGTGAAACCATTTTGATTCCCGTGAGGATTTTAACGTAAGACTGTGAACTTAATTATAGCTAGTGTCTGACGGAAGAGAGAGAATGAGGCTGGAATGCTAAATAGCGAGTGGCCTCTGTAACAAAACCATCTCCATAAAACAACATGACAAACCCGTGTTTGAAAAGGAAAAGCAGATAACAGCGTAAGGCTATCCCGCTAATGTTATTAGGGTACCATTTTCTGTCTTATCACTTGAGCTGGTTGCAGAGCATCCCCTTCCCCTGCCCTGGCCTCTCAGCCAACCTAGCTGCCTGGGCCCTTAAATGGGTAACACCCTAATGCCCCGACAGGTTCTTATTTTTATATGAATTCATTAATGCATAAATATATCAAGTGGCTTCCTCAGATGATGGGGTCCTGAGGCACAACCACCCCTTGCTGGCCCCGGGCCTGCCCGTGGGCTGTCACAGCCATGCCACTGCCCTGCCCCTGCCATGGGACCCGCAGGCCGAGGGGCAGGCCCTGCACACAGGCCAACATCCACGCTTAACCTCAGCCTGGCCACGTCACCCCAGTCCTGCCATCCCTAGTGCATCCTGCTTGTAAGACATACATGTTCAAATTACGGTGTTCATATTTTTTATGAAGCTTTTTTTTTTCAGTGCCAGCAATAAGAGTTCAGTTTGAGTGTCCTTTGATTCTACCCTCTGGACAAATCTTCCTTCATAATCAGCATCCTGAGAGCTGAAGGAGGCTCTGTGATCTGAGCCCTGCTGCAGGGGAATGCCAACTCGGCTCAAACCACTTCTCATCAGAGTGAGTCATCAGAAATACTTTTGGAAGCCCAAAGAGCTGTTGGCCAAACCAGCTCCTTTGTTACAGGTCCTGACACGCAGGAACTAAGGATACAGAAAGCAGCTGCTGAGGTCCTAATGCTGTAAGGGGAACTTGACAAAATCATCTTCTGAACGAAGACTATGGGAAACTTCTGGGTATAATATTCCTTGAAGTTAAGAGAATGAAAGAAAAAATAAAGAATGGAGGTCTCAAACCAAAAGAGATGCTGGAATTAAGACAAGATGATGCAGATGCTTCCAACCGAAGCAAAACAGCAGACTGAAACAGTTACTGGCATCTGCCCTTCTCCTGGAGAATAACTAGGTTTTCCTGTTGTACGTGTGCTCCAAAAAGGTGGGAAAAGACCAGAGGTGTTGTTCTGAGATGGCAAGGAAGACATAGAAGACAGAATTTAAGAGGAGAAGAAAAGAAGCCTGAGAATCTCCTGCAGAAATTACTCAGATTAATTTTTTAATTATTTCTGATGATAAATCAAATAATAAAAAGAAACAGACACCAACACAGAATGACTGGGAGTAAGAAAGGAATCTACTCTGAAGTCTCTCTGGCTGTGTAAATATAAGCCTTGACAGATGGGCAGTACATGGACATCTGTGTAGCATAGTAAATGATATTCCAATAAACTGAAAAGATTGCTTGGGCTTCCATCCTGGCTTCCTCCAATAATAACATGAAATGGCCGCAAGGAGAAAAATTTTGTGGAGCAGAATTTTAAGTGCTTATTACCATTTCTGAGGCTGCACCTAGACGTTTTAAGAATCTTATTTTGGAGGATAACAGATGGTTAAATAGCTGAACAGCCCAGATTTCATCCACAAAATGGTGGGTCTAAAAACAAAAACACATTAGAGACTCGGAGAATATTTAGCTCAATAGGAACTGCAGTCACTTCAGGGAACTCTAAAGATAAATGGCATCGGAAATTAATTAGACAAGCTTCTTCACAGAACAAACAGGACAAAAGAAATTTGTTTTTCACCTATAAAAATGGCCTTTTTGGACCAGCTTCCATGATGGAAACAGCTGGAAATTTACTGATGAAAATGAAAGAAATTTCAGTAGGGAGAAATCATTTTTATTCCTTTGGATTTTACATATACATATATATATTATTTTTAATGTGGATGAAGTTATGAAAAAAAATAGTTATGCAGGATGTGCTATTTCAGAATTATCTCTGTTATTACTGCTTTGGACTAATATGCTATTTCTTGGCATCATTTCAAGCCTTTCTTCTGGAGCATCCCTGTTCATACTGAGAAATAAAATTATTGTAATATTGTTTTTTGTTGGGTGGTTCACAATTATTCTTGATATATTATTTTAAAAAATGCTTATACACTCCTGCTTGACACCACTGAACAGTCCTTATCTGCAAATGAGGAAATGCCAAGCTAAGAAAGCAAAACTTCCAGATGGATATACAATTTGTATTGAGAAAGGGATGTTTTAATCGTGTTTATATGAGCTGCTCAAACACAATGAACTATACTAACAGCAGGACTTTTGCTGGCATTTTCAGGCTTATTTGGAATGTAATTCCCTCATCTCTATCAAACATATAGAGCTGTGCCAGCAGAATTTTCAAGTGTAGACCTGGCTTAAATTGCTGCCACTACACTTCCCTGTGACAGCCACGCAGGTGAGAATGGACTCCATAAAGGCAAGCATCAAAACACTATCACTCAAACTGCAGTTACTACGTTTATTTTTACAGGCATGATTCTTTCAGGCAGGCCACTTGCTTTCACTAGTGCCCATACTTTCTGCTAATCTTTTTAGTAAAATGTGTGGAAGGCTGGTGATATAAAATCAGTCAGTCCACTTGCCCTACTCTAGAGGTTGTTATGATTGCTCTTTGCCACAGAGATAGCAAGGCAGCTTTTACTAAGTTCCCTTGGATATAAGGCACTTCTTGCTAAAGCAACATGGAGCTCAGGTCACCTTAGCCCACCAAGGCAGTCACTCCCTTGCAAAATCATGTCCTCAGGCAGACACATACTTAATATTCATTAACTTTTGCCCATATTAGTTTTTTGAAAGTGTGATCCAAGTAACTAAATTCCAGCAGGCAGCATCTTTTGCCTATAACTGAATTTATAACCTAAATATTAAAGAGATCCATTGCCCTTTAGCTGTGTAACTGATTGATTTCAAGAGTCAGAGTTCCCACAGATTGAGACTATACATGGAGTAAGGCCAGGTTCTTGCAGGTCGATGTTACCTGCCAGTCACTATGACTCTAGTCAGAATTTTTCTGTCAAAAGCCTACCATGGCATCGCTCTGCAATTCTGAAACTCAGTAAGAAGGCTGAGTCCTGCATTGCATCCATATGAACAAAGCTCATGGCCATTAAAATGACACACATTTAACCAAGACAGCATAAATATTGTTAAATGACAGTCAGGTTATGGGTCAAATGAAATGAATTTATCAGGCATTTAATACATAATCTAGTAATAAAAATGAATCTTACATACATGAGAAAATGTGTTTATATGTGCATATGCGTCTGTATGGACATACATCTTTAATGTGCATATGTATGTTAGATAAATTCTTTTTCTCATGGAGATGATTAAATTAATGGGCTTTCAGTGCATTGATAGCAGTCATAAGAATAGGATAAGATTAACTGTGTTACAAATAAACTAGAAAGAAAAAAAATAGTTATGAGCTAGCTAAAAAGAGAAAATAAGTTAATTTCACATTATTTAAAAACAAGGAAAAAAAGGTTTCTTCAACATAATTAAATAAGAATTGTTCTGCAAATACAATGAGCTTAAAAGATTATGAAGCTGGCAGAGAATGAGGAAGAAATGAATGACTCACAAGTGAGAAAAAAATATCTGAAGAGGAACAATATGTTATCTAACTCACTCATGGGACTTATGTTCTGTTTAGCAGAAATGGTAAGTTATTTCTTGTACAGATCATTTCTGATTATTATACAATCATGATACATATTTTCCCCGTAATGAGAAAACAGTATGTATTCTCCCAAGCCTGTGGTTCAGAACATCCCCGTTTACTGGTCCAACTTTACTCAGGAAGTAATTAGGTTTGTTTAAAGGAAATTAC